ATCTTCCTTATGCTTGTAGTCATAGGTACAGTCATTGCATTAAAATACATCTTTTTTGCTTTTTTTTTGCTTTTTTTTTTTTTTTTATAAAGGGCATATATATATATATTTCAGAGACTGAATGTTACATATAAACCTGTGTTTGCAGACAGCCACTAACAAGTATGTGGAAAGGAAGTGAAAACTTGGAGAAGTCTGACTGTGTCTGAACAACCTGGTGAGAATCACTGTGCAATATGCAGACAGAGGATACGGCATTATGGACCTGTGCTCAGATCTTGCCAATCTTCATTTTCATCTCCAGTCCAGTCCTGAGGAAAAAGCTGCTATAGGTTTTCTCTCACTGTAAGGGAGTAAAGTTCTCTTTGCTCGTTCTTTGTTTGATATTTTCCTAACAATTTAAATAATGTAAGAGGGGTAATTTTACTTCATTCTGGGCCTGTCTTAGTGGAAAACTGGATAGCAGAGCCTGGACCTGAGATTTACTACAGATTTATAATGTTTATGGATCAGAAAAGTCAAGAGGAATCAATGGAAAATTGGTCCCATGTCCCATTAGAAGTATAAACAATACTCAAGGGAATATTTGAGTTCCTAAATCCTTTCACAATTAAAGGAAAAGACCCTAAAATCAACAGCTAGTCTCCTTGAAACTTTAATTTTACTTATAATTAAGTATTCATAAATAACAAGAATAGTGTGACCTTAGATGAATGTCAGGCTATTTAAGTAATTTGCTCTCTATGCAACCATTTATATGGGGAATAGTATCTAGGTGTCTTCTAGGCGACTATGAACAGTAATTTACAGCATATTTCTTAAAAGATACATTTTAACTATAAATAAATATCTAAGATATAATGCAATACAAAATTATTAATGTGTAAATGTTAAATCTCTGAGAATCAAGAGAAACAAAAACTCATACATTGAAATTGAAGAAAACAACAAAAATTAATGGGCTCTAGTTTCAAAAAGGCCTGTATATGTTAGTCAAATGTAAAACCTTTCCACTATGTCTTCTAAGCAGCATAAAGGCCGGATCAGCAAAGAAGAAGGCAGGCAATCCTACTAGTACTAATATAAATTAAAATATTATATTGCAAGTTTTACCATTTCTACTTGAAGCTATCGAAGACTGAATAAATCAGAAGTAAAAAATCAGAGCAAGGAATTAATATTAGGCAGAGGAGAAGGGGGAAGGCAAAACTGCTAGTCTGAACAAAATCTTTAAACTTTTAAGAAATAGAATTTTTTCCATTGTGTAGTCAAGCAGTAATGAAAGGGAATGCATTTATTGCTACAGTGCAATTTAACACTCTATGCCTGAAACATCAGTAAAATCTGCGGAAACTATTCATATAGATCAAAAGCACAGTGTGGCTGTAAATAATTTCAGTGAATACTCTTTATTTAGGTAAAATTTTTTAAGATCCCTGAAGGCAAACAAGCTTGAGTATGTAGGCAAATAAACTAATATGTCAACTAATATATCAAAGTGAAGTTTGTCTCTCTTGGCATAGACATAGTCTGGGGCTAAATGATAAAAAGTACCTTAGATCAGAATGAGGAAATCAAATGGTAATAATATTTCTGTGAGAAAATAGGGACCTAATACTAGTAAAGGTTAAGAACATTTTTAAGTTGCTGTATCAAAGTCTAATATTCTCATTAGATTCTCTCCACCTGTGTCATATCAAAGCTTAAGAAAAATAAAAAGTAGAGGTAAATTTTTATTTTTTTAATACTACTTGTGCTAGTAATTGTGTGATCATCAGTTTTTCAGCAGGTTTTTATGGCTTCCAAACTGTCTGAGATCTAGAATACCTAGTACAGGCAACTGAGTGTGGGTGGTATTTACTAAAGTCTGCAACATCGATATATTTGTCACATTTTTACAGCAAATCTCTGACAAAAAAAATTAAGTTGTGCTGCAGTGTTTTATATACTTTTAATTTTTTAACAGATATCAACTCATACTTTCCACAGAAACATTGTCGTGTTATCTCATTTTTCCCCTTAGTCCCTATCAAACTACGATTATATCTTTTTTAATAGTGAGCATTAATAACTATCTCTCTCTATAAATGTGTATATAAATATATAAATATAAAAATAGCTTGACAATAACTTGTTTTGTATGGGTCTGAGTCAAAACAAGATCAAGCAACACTACCTAGCTTTATGGTTCATTTTGTATTTCAGTAGCATCTTTCCTGTCTTTAAAGAAGCCTCGTACTGAGAAAGGAAAAATAGATTAAGATTTTCAAGGTCTTTCTGTTGATTCCCTTGTCATATTTCTTCTCTCCTGTACATTGAATAGTTAGATCCAGTACAGTGTAGAGGGGAAATCTGTACTTCACACAGCAGCCAGATCTATGGACTTTTCAGGGTTGTTCTTTATTATACAAGAATATAGGGCAGGCACTGAAATATTTATGTCATACATACCTTTTCATCCTATTTTTATTTTCTGATGTTAGGAATAACCCAAGTGTTTTAGTGAAGGAAGGGTATTTTATTGCCATATCACCATTATGCCTGAGTCCACAGTTCATAACCTGTGGGTAAACTTCATATCCAGTGGAGCCACATGGTAATTAATGAGATTCAATAGATGCTGGATCTATCTCTGGGTATTTATATATGACCACTAATTGCAGGACTTCCCTTGGTACAAGCTGGAGTACTGGGGCAGCAGTAGAGTTCTCCATCCACTCGTTGTACCTTCCATTTGACTTCAGGACATCATTCCTCCATGGATTTTCTTCTGCTGGAAAACTCCATTTTATTTCTGCCATCTTGATTATTTAAATACGTGCTTAGATGGGAAGAAAGCAGAACATGTTTTATCTATGAAGGAAAAAGCAATTCCAGATATTTGTAAAGATTCTTATCTCAAGACTTGTTCTGGTGACTTGTTCTGGTTTTCCCATGTTTATGTTACTTAAGAAACCACTCTAAATTCCACTGTAACATAATTTATGACAGGCCAGTTAATGTAATTTTATTTGTTGATAAGTGGATGCATGTTAGTTGAAATCTGTAGTAATTCATTCAGAATTTAATTCAACTTTTATGTTCTTTCAGGTAATAAATATTTTAATAACATTATCTTATTGATTACTGAAATGTGTAACAATGACATCCCAATATGTGTTGATTTCTAGTAATTATCGTAAAACCACATGCCCAGTTGCTCTATTG